GTCATTGAAGAGTCAAATAGTCCATGGTCCGCGCCAGTAGTACTGGTTACGAAGAAAGATGGGAGTCTTAGATTTTGTGTGGACTACCGAAAGCTCAATGACGTCACCAAGAAGGACAGCTTCCCTCTCCCAAGAATAGACGATACACTAACAACTTTATCGGGCTCCAAATGGTTTTCCACCTTGGGTCTCAAAAGTGGATACTGGCAAGTGGCAATACATGACGATGACAAAGAGAAAACTGCCTTCAGTACCGGAAGCGGGCTATACCAGTTTAATGTAATGCCTTTCGGATTGTGTAATGCTCCAGCTACGTTTGAGCGACTGATGCATCTTGTTTTGCGAGGTCTTACATGGAGAACTTGCCTGGTATATTTGGATGATGTCATTATAATGGGAAATTCGTTCCAAGAACATCTCAATAACCTGAAAGAAGTTTTTGACCGCTTCCGGAATGCCAACTTGAAACTCAATCCAAATAAGTGTTTCCTATTTCAAAAGAAAGTGGAATTCTTAGGTCACGTGGTATCTGAAGAGGGCATACAAGTTATGGAAGGAAAAATAGATGCTGTCAGGGACTGGCCAAAACCACGCGACAAACATGAACTAAGGAGTTTTCTAGGATTATGTTCTTATTATCGAAGATTTGTGGAAGGATTCGCCAATATAGCTGCTCCACTTCATCGATTAACAGAAGAAAAATCAACATTCAATTGGACCCAAGAATGCGATTCCGCATTTAGAAGATTGAAAGGAGCATTATGTACGAGCCCAGTGCTGTCCTATCCTGATCACAAAGGCATGTTGATTTTGGACACAGATGCAAGTAACACCAGTGTTGGAGCTGTCCTTTCACAAATCCAAAATTCACAAGAACATGTCGTGGAGTACTACAGCAGAACATTATCAAAGCCAGAACGAAATTATTGTGTCACCAGAAGAGAGTTGCTTGCCATAGTAAAAGCAGTCGACCATTTTCATAAGTATCTCTACGGACGCAAGTTTCTAATTCGAACAGATCACGCAGCTCTAAAATGGCTTTTAGAAATGAAAACTCCTGAAGGACAGCTTGCTAGATGGATTGAGAAATTGCAGCAATACGATTTCCAAATTAAACATCGCCCTGGAAACCTGCATAAAAATGCTGACGCTCTGTCTAGACGGCCATGTAAAGAAGATTGCAAACATTGTCAAAGAATCGATATACATGAGAAAAACACTAGTCCAGCTGTAAGAAGAACGGGCCTGATCGTCGATGACAAATGGACTACCAAGCAAATGAGAGAAGATCAGGAGGCAGACCAGGACATCGGGCAAATTCTACATCTTAAAGAAAATGATGAATGTAGACCAGAATGGGGGGAAGTGTCAAACAAAAGCTTGATTTACAAGGCGTTGTGGGCCCAGTGGAACTCTCTGGCCGTAGAAAATGGTTTGCTCAAAAGAGTTTGGGAAAGTGCCGATGGGAAATCCACTAAGAGCCAACTGGTAATCCCAAAAGACCGAGTGGAAGATGTATTAAAAGAAATACACGACGGAACCTCAGGGGCACATTTCGGAGTTAACAAGACTTTGGACAAAATTCGGGAACGTTTTTACTGGGTTCAATACCATGAAGACGTTAAAAGCTGGTGCCGAAAATGCGACATCTGTGCTACCAGTAAAGGCCCTAAACTAAGATCTCGGGGGCCCATGAAACAGTACAACGTTGGTCTTCCATTTGAGAGAATAGCGATAGATGTAGCAGGACCGTTCCCAGAGTCAGAGCGTGGTAACAAATACATCTTAGTTATCATGGATTACTTCAGTAAATGGCCAGAAGTTTTCGCTATTCCCAATCAAGAAGCCATCACTGTTGCCCAGGTGCTAGTGGACGAAGTTTTTAGTCGTCATGGTGTGCCACTAGAGTTACATTCAGACCAGGGACGAAACTTCGAATCTGCTATCTTTAAGAAAGTTTGTGAGATCATGGGCATTCGTAAGACAAGGACAACACCTTTACACCCTCAATCTGATGGCATGGTGGAACGATTCAATAAGACCATAGAGGAACACCTGACAAAAGTGGTCGCAAAGAACCAACGAGATTGGGACAAGCATTTGCCTCTATTTTTAATGGCTTACAGAGCGGCTGTTCACGATTCAACAGGTGAAAGTCCGGCTAGAATTGTTTTTGGAAGGGAACTCAGGTTACCTTGCGATCTGATGTTTGGAGTACCCGAAGAAGAACGAAGAGAAATCCGAGATTATGCCGACGAAGTAAGGGCACGACTTCTGGGTATCCATGATTTTGCTCGGGAGCATATTCAACTAGCCAGTGACCGAATGAAGACCAGATACGACTTGAAGGCCAATTCGGTCGGATTTCAAGAAGGTGATTTAGTGTGGTTATATAACCCAGTAAGGAAGAAAGGAATATCACCGAAATTGTCTTCAGCATGGGAAGGACCCTATAGAGTAATCAAGAGGATCAATGATTTGGTTTATCGAGTCCAGCGCAACACCAGGAGTAAGATGAAAGTTGTACATCTGGACAGGTTGGCGAAATATCATGGGCGAGAAGTTGATCGGGACGATCAACCTTAAGAGGAGGGCAGTGTCACAATAAGCTAAACGTCCGCCAGGCTGTCAAGAATCTCTCGGTATTATCTCTTGAGTATACTAGAATCTAGTGAATTATTCTACTTAATTCGGGAAAATAATATTATCGTGTATTCTAGATTTTACAGGAATAGATTTAGGGATATATAAGAAGGCCGGCATTGGTTTGTAGTTAGTTTCAGTTCGAGTGTGATACGATTTAAATAGTGATTGTAAAGAGTTGAATTGTTGAGTTTGTTAATAAAGTAATTAGTGTCAGAGTGTTTTGTTAAGTGGAATAAATTATTGCTGTGTTAATTGGACTTTGATTTTTGGAATAAACGAAACGAACAACGAACCCAAGAATTTTGTCAGCAGGCAACCCAAAGCCGCGACAATACGCAGTTGATTAATTTATATATTTGGGACTCTAATGATTCTTTAAGAGCCGGTATTTCAATGTCACCTTAAGATATAGAATAAACACAGACATTGACAACATTGTCTGTCCTTGTTCGATGACGTCATCCTAAATATAATATAAAAACCCTATACTTTAGGGTAAGTCTTGATTTTAAGGTAATATTGTAATACCGGCCCCGGTTGAAAAATTTTGTTCAATAACAGTAATAATTGCCAACGTGCTCTATGAATTAAATTATGACGTCATCGATGGCGTAAGTAAGTACAAAAACTGCAAAAATAATAAAATAATTTGGTTGCACTAATTTTTTATATAAGTGTTAGGTAGTGCTATGGTGGGATGCCGAATAGGAGTGCTAATTTTTGCTTTAGGGGTGCTTATAGCACCCCCAAGTAGGGTTTCCATACGTCCGGATTTACCCGGACATGTTTGGGTTTTTAGGGTGTCCGGGGAAGTCCGGCCGGAATTCGGAAGAATGTCCGGAAAACTCGGAGGTCGTGAAAACACTCATACTCAGTTTATGCACTATTCAAAAGACGTAAAATTTGACTTCACGCACTAGTACGTGAAATAGTAGTGAAGTAATGTCAATGACAAATGTTGACACTGTTATTTTTTCCTAATAAATTACTTCACTTTACGCACTAGTGTGTAAAGTATTTGTATATCTATTGGTTTAGGTACACATATTTTATTGGTAGTGGAATTTTTTTTGTTTATGCAATACGAGTGTAAAGTGAACTTTTTTTCACGAATGTGGATTTTAACACGTTGAAGGACAGAGACGCAGATCAGCGTCATTTCCTGAAGTTGTTATGTGACGCAACGCTAATATGCGTCTTCATATAGATGGTGAAATGACACGACACCGTTCAGCATTTGTATCTAAAAAAAATATATCATACAATTTAACGTAAATTCAATCGCCACCGCCAGTGTCACAATACCTTCAAATATCAGTGCCGTACTGTCACATTTGAAATTTATTCACAGACATTCCCAGAACCCCCCACTCCACATAAAAACAGAACGCCGTCCAGCGTTTGCATAAATTGGTATCTTACAGAAATGTTCACTGTGCTTCAACGTGTTAACGCACGAGCCTTGAAAAAAGGTTCACTTTACACACTTGTTGCATAAATAGCTATTTGGGCGAAGTCCGGATTTCTTGATTCCTTTGTCCTGAATTCCGAAAAACCATTACGGAAACCCTACCCCCATGCATCTCCCTAGTTGCGCCTATGGAACCTTTACTATAGAAAGCTGAGATTTTCAGCGATTCTTATTCTAATAGAGGACTACAATCCCTGAAAGTTTCAACTCATTTGATCTCATAGTTCCAGAAAGAAGAGGGCATGAACCTTAACAAAAGCTGGTTGCCAGTTCTTCGAAAAACAAAGACCCTTCCTTTCCGAGAACGAGACAAGGAAATTAGCGTACCTAATACAAGCCACGCCCACAATCCTGGATATAAACAACGCAGATCCAACAACGTCGAATCTAGTTATCGTAGGAGAAAACTTCGTCCTCTACCATACCGCCTCTGAAGATGTCTACCGCAGCAGTAGACGAAACGTTAGGTAGAAATACTAATGGTCCACGGCATTATAGTCCTGAAAAAACTACTAGTTATGTAATTTTCAATGCCAAACTTTTATTTAAATTTTTTAGCATATTTTAACCCCCTGTAAAAAATATACCTTCTAAATTTTGAGAGTGACAACAAGTCAATATCAGAAAAGGACCACTTTTACTCCAGAGTTTCGATTTACTATTTTTTTCTCTCACGTAGAATGAGGAGACGATAAATACTTGAAGATTTTAGTGTAACTTTGAAATCAATACAGATAAGGATGTTTTTTTGTAACTATTTTAAATCAATTCAATGATTTTGATCTATTGGAAGAAGCAAACTAAGTACTTGAAAATTATCTAATATTGAGACAATTTTTATAAAATGTATCAATTTATAAAGCAAATAAAATAATTTCTGTTTAGTTATAAATTGTTTTTAATTTGGAGGTAAGATTGTTCTCATTATTTTTCAATCAATAGAGAATAAATAATAAATTACTATACTTACTTTTAATATAATAAAACCAGTGTAAAATTGTCACGCAGCCTAATTATACTACCATGTTGAGTAAAAATTAATAAATTATCAATAATTACAGTCAGTTTTGGTAAAAGTTGTACGATGCGGACAAGGTTTTCGTTGCAATTACTCGCCCTAATTGTTACTTTAGTGCAATGCAAATCTAATTGCGGATATCAGGTGAAAAGATTTTGATTTATTTACACTAGATTTTTACAATAATAATTTTTCAGTCGTGTCATCCAATTAAAGACGGCTACATTAATGTCCATTTGATTCCTCATAGCCACGATGACGTTGGTTGGGTCAAAACCGTTGATCAATTTTACTATGGAAGTAAGTTGTTTGATCCAATTTCATATTGTTATTACATATTAATATTTTAAGCCAACAATTTCGATTATCGTGCCTCAGTACAAACCATTTACGATAACGTACTGAAAGCAGTCCAAAAAAACAAACAAAGACGGTAAGATTTTTAATTTGGCCTCAAAAACATTCCAAAAACCATCAATTGTCCATAGATTCATTTACGTTGAAAGTGCCTTTTTCTGGAAATGGTGGCAAGAGCAAAATGAATCGGAAAGAAACCAGTTACAGCAATTGGTTAATAGTGGCCAAATCGAATTTGCAGGCGGTGGTTGGTCAATGAACGATGAAGCAGTAGTTAACTACCAATCAGTTATAGATCAAATGAGCTGGGGCCTAAAAAAGCTCAACGATTCTTTTGGAGATTGTGGTCGGCCTAAAGCTGGATGGCAAATCGATCCTTTCGGACACAGTAACGAAATGGCATCGATTTTTGCTGGACTCGGTTACGATGGAGTTATTTTGGGAAGGATTGATTATGAAGATAAAAGTATTAGATTGGAAAATAGGTCTATGGAAATGGTATGGAGAGGTAGTAGAAGTTTGGGAAGGCAAACTGATATTTTTACAACCACTTTGTACAACCATTATGACGCTCCAGCTGGATTTTGTTTCGATATTTTGTGCGAAGATTCCAATCTTGTAGATGATCCTTATAGTCCTGAATACAACATTGACGTCAAAGTAAGTTGTTTCCAGGAAGACTTCTGCCGAAAGAAGCTATTTTTCTGGGTGTCAGTTGGCCTATTTCTTCTGGTGACAGTGTTGCCCCTTCGAGGAATTTGAGCCTCGGAGTGTGCCTCCAATATTATGACAGTTGGTCTTTTCCCCATTTGTTGAGTTCTTCCATGATGTGGCTTTTTATTAAGCCACATCATTAAGTATGGTGTTGAGGCCCCTTCTTTTGCGAGGCCTTCTGCTTCTTCGTTTCCTTCTATGCCTCGATGACCAGGCAACTACATCAGTGTTACCTTTTGTGTGTCGCTAGTGTTTTTAGGGTCTATTTACACTCCCAGACTAGTTTTGACGTGCATTTGAAAGCCCTTAAGGCTTTTAAAGGTACGGTTTGTTAGGATAGTACGTGACGCACAACTGACAACATAAACGTCGTCATTGGTTCAGGTATGACGTACACCCATCTTCTGACGTGAGAAAACGGGTGTACGTCATACCTATGGTCATACCTGACCAATGACAACATTTACGTTGTCAGTTGTCCGACGCGTACTCTCATAACAAACCGTACCTCAAGGTAGCTTGGCTGTCCGATAATATGAAGTGTGTGTATTCTTTTGAGGCTTTGGTTAAGACACTCTTGTGCACATATATCTATGGCAAGCAATTCGGCTTGAAATATTGTAAGATGTTTACCCAATTTATTGAAGAGCTTGAAGTTAGGGCCGGAAATGCCCAATCCAGCTCCTTCCAATAGCTTGGATCCAGTGCAGGGATGCTATTTCTAGTACAATTGTACTAGATCTAGCACAATCACGTTGCACCTAATACGCTAGTACCTCTCTCATAAATCTAGTACAATTTAGAATACAAGTCGAGTGTCGCTCTTCGCTCTATACCGTACCCGAGTTCTGCACTCCACTCTCTATTTGTGGTTTGGGTTTCACGTTCCAGTCCCATTACGGTGTGGCTAAAGCCAAACAAGAAACTGGCGTTTCGAATATGAGGCAATTTTTGGCGAGAATATTCAAGCATAATCTGATTATGCTGGGTTATGTGATGTGTCAATTGTGTCATACTTCCCTAACTCCTTTTCCATCAAATTCTGGGCCTGCGAAAGACATCACTATCAGCAGAAATTAGCAATGACGTCACCCGCAGACCTTGATCGAATGCTTGCGATTCAGGCTATGCTAGTCAGTTAATTTTCGTCGATTTTAAATGTAGAAAAGGTAATTTTCGGTCTGTTCTCACAGAACAAATTAGTGTTCTTGATCCTCGGGTATCCCAGAATTTGGGGAGTTTTTTATTCTGTGATTTGATGTGTGTCATGAATCGGTGGTTATTCGATTATTCAACGGTAGTCGATTTATAACTTAATTTGTAGAAATTTATTTGTTTCCATCATTCAGGGCCGGTTTCCAAATAGCGAGTCACTCCCAGCCCCCAGGGTTAAGGATAACTCTAGGTAAACATTGCAACTAGACACATTTACCCTGGAGTTAAAACCAACCCGCAGGTGACTCGCTATTGAAAAACTAGAGGTGAGTTGCGATTTTACGAACTGTAACTTTGTCACTGCTACTCGTCTGTCACAGTCACGGCCTGCTCCGATCCCACTCAAATAGCAGTGACGTTTTGTCACGGCCACTTCGATATCTAACCGATACAGTGCGGACTAAACTCAACTTAAAGTGATGCAAATAATGAAATATTATTATAAATCACATTGCGGTGATGCAAAACAGAAACTGCCACTGCAGAGGACAGACTGGAACATTCTTCTCGGCCGTGACTGTGAACTGAGCGAACTGCCATTACCAGCACGGCCAGTCAAGTCACTGTTATTTCTTACCGTAACACGACTAGAGCAGTCACGTCTTGTCACAGTTCCAGTAAAATCGCAGGTTGGCCCACTTCTAGTTAAAACCAACCCGGAGGTGACTCGATATTGAAAAATCGGCCTACAGGGACGAAAAAATGTAGCAACCCTGGCACAAAAGTTGCAGCAACCCTGACGCAAACGTCAAAAAATTTGACATGTCAAAGTAGGCCTTGTAATTTTTGACAATTAATTTAAAATGGCGACAATGGCGTTTGTTTGTTTTTTGTTTTGAAAGCCCCCTTTTTTTGATTCAGAGCCTCGTTTTTTCAGCTAAATTTAGTGTTTTTTAAGTGCAAAGTAGCTCTAAAACCCTCTGAGTAGGACAAGGAAAGAGATAAAGTAGGATGTAATTCAAGTGCTCACTTTTTTTAAAAGAGGCAGAAAAAGTTATTTACCCCTAATTTTAGAATTTGAAACTAGAAATTTATGGATGAAAATGTCACTTACCCCATTGGAAAACTGGAAATTTTTGGCAAAAAATGAAGGAAATTCAAAGCATCGTCTTCTCAATCGGTTTTTTTAATTGAAAACGGCCTGAAAAAGCGGAAAATTCGAGGAAAAACTGGATAAAAACATTCAAAAATGACCGATTGTCAAAACTGGGAAATGACATTGTGCGACGTTGCCACATCTCAATTACATTTTAAAGTTTTTTATTTAAATAATTAATTAATAATGTTTATAAAATGATAAATTCCGAAAATAATGCATTGGAATCTTATTTTTATTAAATTTCAATAAAAATGATATTCCAATCCAAGGCCTGCTTAATAGTAAGAAAGACAAAGAGGGAGATGAAGTAGGAAAAAATTGAATCTAAAAATTGAAGTTTTTGGTGGAAAAATGAAGCAAATTCAAAGCCCCGTTTTTAAAATCATCTTTTTCTAATTGAAAAATGGAAAAGTGAAAAGTAGAAAATTCAATGGAAAACCAACATTCCAAAGCCTACTTGAAACATCAAAGTTTTGGTCACTTACCCCATTGGGAAACTGGACATTTTTGGTGAAAAATAGAGAAAACTCAAAGCCTCGAACTTTAAAACGATTTTCCCGATTGAAAACGGCCTGGAAAAGCGGAAAATTTGAGGAAAAACTGGACAAAAATGTAAACTCGTCAATTAATAACAGCTGTCAAAAATGGCAAATGACATTTATTACAAGGTCTACTTGAAGTTGGCTACAAATGATGTTATTACGTCACAAAATTTCCAAGAAAAACATTTAAAATCGAATTCTACTTGTAATCTAAAAATTAAAAACCCGTTAAATAATTAATTACCTAATAACGATTTTAAAATTAGAAATTCCTTAAATAAGTCCTCAAAAACTTGCTTTTCAATAATTTTTTTTCACTTACCTTTTGACCGTAAATAAATGGATCTAAAATGGAAATTTCTAGCAGAAAAAACTCGAAGCCTCGTACTTTAAACTAGTTTTTTCGACTGAAAAAACCCAAAAGAAGTGGAAAATTCGAGGAAAACCTGGATAAAAATGTAAACACAACACTTCAAAATGGCCGACTAATAATTTGGTAATGAGTATGACAAAGAGAGAGATAAAGTAGGATACTATTTTAGTCTAAAAATGGAAGTTTATGGTGAAAAATTGAAGCAAATTTAAAGCCCTGCACCCCAAACAGTCTTTTTCCGATTGAAGAAGCCTTGGAAAAGTAGAAAATTCAATGGAAAACCAACATTCTTAAATCTACTTGATCAAACCAAAGACGTCATTTTTTGTTGAAATGTTTTCAAACCGTTTCAAACTGGTTTGAAACACTCCATTTTCGTGTTGCAACGGTGACGTCATGTACGACAACGTGGACAAGCTCAAACAGGGTTCTGGGCTATATAAATAGGCATAACCTCAAAATTATTTGTTGTGGTCTTTGTTAATGCTGGAAATTTTGCTGTAAATAGTGCCAATTAATATGAACTGAAGTTTAAATCAGCTAGTGCAAATATGGATGAAGACACTCAGAAAACGTGGAAATGGTAGCAACGAGTGTCAAGTGATCCGTTTGAAAATCGTGCAATTTTTTGACACTCACTTATTGATGACGTAGTAATCGGAACAGTTTTAAACCGGGTTTGAAAGTGTTTCATGATCAAAAAGACGTCTCAAGGTTCTGGACACTAACCTCGTTGGAAAACTGGAAATTTTTGTCAAAAAATGAAGGAAACTCAAAGCCTCGTACTTTAAACAAGTTTTTCTACAAACGTTACTAAAAGTGTCATTTTTAACGGATGCTGTCAGTGCCTAAAATGCCATTTTATGACACTGGTGTTAAAAGTGATTACTTTTAGCACTAGTGCTAAAAGTAATCACTTTTAGTGCGTTGGTAGAAAAAATAATGTATGATATTCGTGCTAAAAGTGATTTTATTTTGTTCAAAGGGATGGAACACTCCGCCTTTGGCGTCGTGTCTCAAACTTCCCTTTTCACAAAATAAAATGTAACTTTTAGCACTTATATCATAAATAACTATTTTTTGATTGAAAAACCGGAAAATTCAAGGAAAAGCTGAATAAAAACACTCGGCTGTCAAAAGTGGCAAATGACATTACATTACAAGACCTACTTGATCGAAAACAACGTTGCCACAATTACAATCTCGAATAGAATGTTTTTCCTCATTTTCCAACAAATAAAAAAAAATCATTTTTAATTTTAATTTGATTGTATTTTCGGCAAAAATAGTAAGACAAAGAAGTAGGTAGGATACATTTTGCAAAAACAACAAATGCGGTTATAAATGAGTGAAACAAAGAAGAAGATAAAGTAGGATGCACTTCAAGTACTCAATTTTAGAGGTGGGTTGCGATTTCACTGCTTCACCGATGCAGATGCAGCGCGGACTAAACTCAAATCAAAGTAATGCAAATAATGACATATTATTATAAATCGCATCGCGGTGACGCCAAACAGAAACTGCTACTGCAGAGGAGGGCAAACTAGAACACCTCTTTCGGCTGTGACTGCAAACTGGGTGGACTGCGATTATATAATGTAGCATTTATATGTATTACCAGCATGGCCAATCAAGGTGAAACTGTTCCAAAAAATCACTGCTATTTATCACCGTGATACGACTGGAGCAGTCACGTCTTGTCACAGCTCTAGTAAAATCGCAGGTTGGCCCACCTCTATGAGAAACCGACCCTAAAATAAATGATATTTACCCCCATTTAGCAGAGCTTATATTTGTATTCAAATTTTAAATTTGATGCGCTTTCAGCTAGTACACTTTCTTTTCCGAATTTCAAAAAAAAAAAAAAATACCATCGGATAGAGGAGCAAAAAAGACGTTGAAAAGCTTATGGGACCCTGCTTGCTATGGCACATTCTAAAGCCAGGAAAAAATTAAAAAAGGATATAGCTTCACTATTTCTCAACCGATCGTTTCGAGTCATATCTCTTTTAAAAGAGGATGAAATTACCTACATAATGCCAAGTCGTTTTTATCTTTAAAATATCAGCTGTCAAAGTTGAAATTCTTTGTAATATTGTTAAAATTTTCCAGGTCGATTTTCTCGAAAATGGTGTCCCTAGGAGGGATACTTTTTATAGGCTTTTTTGTAGTACTCGACGATATCTTTAAGTTTTTCTCCCGAGTTTTTCGTTTTCGAATTAGGGCGCTTTGAAAATTAAAAGAAAAAAATCGCCTTAGAACCAAATATGTTGGAGTCGGCTCAACCAAATATAGATAAACTATATATTTTTGGAATCGGAAAATTGTGCTCTTTAAGAATATAGAACCAAATATAGGGCATCTCATTTGAAAAAAAGCTGAAAACATGCAACATTTCACATTTCTGACATTCAATTTTTGTTTCTGACCATGGATTCTAAAAATTTAACCAATACTGTACCACTTTTGTATTTACACCTTTTATCCACTTATAAAGGTGAAGGAGGGTTGTCAATATATAAAAAAAACACCGTGTACTTGAACAATAACTTATTATATAGAGTCAGAATTTGTAAGATTATCCACTTTTTGTCAATTTGCCTTTAGACAGGAATTAGTAATGTTACTTTACCAAATAATAGTAATATAATGTGACAAGTTATTCAATTACAAATGAGTGAATTGTTGCGAAACTTATGGGTGGACCTCTGCGGGACGAGCGCAGCGAGTTCCGCAGCCATCTACTTACCAATATACTGTTGAACTGTTCAAATATGATACTCACCTGCGCTCGTCCCGCAGCCATTTATTCATCAATATGTTGTTTAATTACGATACTAAACTGACTCACTCAAATGTGCGTTATTCTCATTAGCTTAAAAATATCACATTTCAACTAAATGTCTTACTTGAATAGTTTAATAGTACCTATATTGGTGATTGGATGGCTGCGGAACTTGCTTGCTTGAGGTCCATCCATAAGTTCCACAACAATCCACTTATTAGTACCTACTTGAATAATAACTTATTATATAAAGTCAGAATTTGTAAGATTATCCACTTTGTGTCAATTTGCCTTTTTACAAGAATTGGTAATGTTACTTTACCAAACTAATAATATAATGTGACAAATTATTCAAGTACAAACGAGTGGATTGTTGCGGAACTTATGGGTGAACCCAGCCATTCATTTACTAATATGTTGTTCATTAGAGGTGTACCACCTGGGCAAAAAGTGTAGGTACAGTGATTTCCTAAATCCGGATACACCAGCGTATTTCTTGAATATTCTGGAAAATACTTCGCATTCCTAGATATTACCAGTATTACCTGGAACATCACAGAATATTATCAGTACTTCCAATTACATATTATTTGAAGTATTACCTAGTAAAACCTACTTCTGATAAATATTTTCTAGTATTACCAGATTGTTCCAAAAAAAAACCTTTGAGTGAATAGCTTGATAATTAACAATCATATTTTACCAAAACAGCAGATTAATTTTTTTTAACACATTTTGATTCCCAGTTCAGGTACCTATAGCTGAAACAGTTTGGGTACCTACCTGTAGTTGATTCTTGTTTATTTTATCCTTAATCCTGTTACATCCACCAGTCAATGCCAACCTTCATGTCTTTGAAAAATGGTCTGTTGCGTGGTCAGCCGACTGTATATGAGAAAAATCGAAAAATCTAATTGGTGTTGCCAGATTTCTGATGGTTTAGCAAACTAGAACATAAAACTATATGTATTTTATAATATCGTTCGTAATTATTTAAGTATTGTACATTGATGAATACATGATTCCAAGGGTTAAGAAAAAACGAGTAGGTAATGCAACCGCAATCTAAAATCCTGTTACCTAATTATTTATTCAGAGTAGGTATATAGTTTTTTCCTAGGTTTTTTCAAACCCTTATATTGTTCAGTAATTCCTAACCTATCTGTACGTCTTATTTGGAAAGTGTCATTTCCCACCAAAGTATTTCTATCTGCGGTTTGCGCCATTCGACTTCTCTTGGCCTATAGTTTTCTTTAGTTAGTTTGAAATTTTTCTGATACTTATACAGGGCCAGTAAAAAAAATGCTGTTTTTCAACATCGAAATTCTCCACTATTTTTAATGGAACACCCTGTATATCACAACGTCAAAAAAAGAGTCATATTAAACTGTTAAAGGTAGGTATTCATGTAGCAATAAACGTCATACTTGAAACTAAAGTTTCAGCCTTGAAAAATTAAAATCGAAATCCTGGTATTTTTGCAAACGCATTGATCATTAGCATATTCACAAAGCTTCGAAATTATATTTATCCAATAGAAAGGTAATAAAAAAGTCACGGTTTCCTGAAGGTGAATGAAATGCTTGTGGCGCCAATTTCATTGTTTGTCCATGGCCGCCATATCAATTGGATTGTTCTATTGAACGTGCAAGACGGTTCTCATAATATTATCATGATAATAATATGATTGGATTTTATTTCCATGTCCATTCCACCTAAACAATCAGTCAAATGCACAAGAGCTGTCAGCAAACAAAACAAGTAGGTAAAGTAATGCACGTAAAAACAGAGCTTTGCTCTTTTAAGCCGTCGTATTCCTTCTCAAATAGCTCAAACCATCTTATTATATTATATCCACAAAACATTTCGCAAAACACTTGAACAACCTCATACAAGTTTTGTTGCCACATGAAAAATAAACGATTGCTTATTAAACCATATGCGAAATGTAACTCTTTCACCCCTCTCTCATAGTATTACACTGCCTATATTTCCAAATTATTACTTAGGTATTTCTGAAATATTACCAAATATTACCTGGAATATTGCCACTTTTTCAATTATTACTAGTTTAACTAGGTATTACTCACACATTTCTCGTATTACTAAGATTTCCTAGGTGGTACGCCCCTCGGTTGTTCAAGTACGATACTAACCTGAGTCACTTGAATGTGAGTTATTCTCATTAGTTTAAAAACTACACGTTTCAGGTGAATGTTTTACTTGAACAGTTCAACAGTATATTGTTGAGTAAATGGCTGCGGAACTCGCTGCGCTCGTCCCGCAGAGGTCCACCCATAAGTTCCGCAACAATCCATTTATTTGTACTTGAACAATAACTTATTATATAAAGTCAGAATTTCTAAGATTATCCACTTTTTGTCAATTGGCCTTTTAACAGGAATTAGTAATGTTACTTTACCAAACTAGTAATAATATATTGTGACAAGTTATTCAAGTACAAACGAATGGATTGTTGCGAAACTTATGGGTGGACCCAGCCATCTATTTTCACCAATATATTGTTCAAGTACCTACAATACTAACCTGATTCATTCAGTTGTGAATTTTTCTCAATAATTCAGAAACTACACGTTTCAGGTGAGTATCTTATTTGAACAGTTCAACAGTATATTGGTAAGTAGATGGCTGCGGAACTCGCTGCGCTCGTCCCGCAGAGGTCCACCTATAAGTTCCGCAATAATCCACTTATTTATACAGGGTGTTTTTTTTTATATATATTGACACCCCATCCTTTACCTTCACAGGTAGAAAAAAGGTGTAAATACAAAAGTTGTACAGTTTTGGCTGAATTTTTAGAAACTATGGTCAGAAACAAAATTTGAATTTCAGAAATGTGAAGTTTTGCATGCTTCCAGCTTTTTTCAAATGGGATGCCTTATATTTGGTTCTATATTCTTGAAGAGCACAATGCACCGATCTATATTTGATTGGGCAATCTCTCATATACGCACATAAGTGTTGACGAATTTAATTGTTCTTTGTTTCAAAATTTTTCCGCTACTTTTTCAAAGACTGTTACAGAGGCAATACAAGAAACTTTCCGGACTGACACTTTAGGTAATGTAGATTTTAACTCAAACTGGACAGGACTGCGAACTCATCTCTCAACTGACAACTTAACTAGCAACTAATTACTACTTCTAAAACCGCGGTATTTATATTGAATCGATCCCCCCACAAAGTATTATTAATTATCACCCAAATCGTCAACAGGCGTTCGTTTGCCTAGTAATCCGACAATTCCATTGGCCGACCTAATTATTATTAAAAATAATGATGCAATTTTCTTGAAATCTTTATCATTTTTAGTTAAAAAATCGAATATCCTAATTTATCGAGGCCAATATATTTTCTCGGTTCAAGAATGCCATAAATCATTTATAATTACTTGGCCTCCCTCTTATTATAAGTTCATTGATTTGGGTGATGACACTGGGCTTGATGACGGAACACCTAATATAATATTAAACGTTAATTATTATAGGCTGAAGAATTCATCAGTGAACATATAAAAGACTCAATCAAAAGCTTTCAAACCAATAACGTTATTGTACCAATGGGCAGAGATTTTGCTTATCAAGAAGCTGAAACTTGGTTCAGAAATATTGATAAACTAATCAAGTAAAAAATATTATTTAATTTTAACCCAACAACTAATAATAATTACTTATAGATACATCAACAACCATGAAACGTTTGAAGGCAAAAAATACAATCTCCTTTATTCAACCCCCTCTTGTTATATAGCAGCAGTCCAAAAACAATCCAAAGGCATTTTAACTTCACCATTGAAACTGGATGACTTTTTTCCTTATGCCACTGATCCTCACGCATATTGGACTGGATATTATACATCCAGGCCCACGTTGAAGCGATACGAAAGACTCGGGAATAATTTTTTGCAAGTTTGCAAGCAGCTTTTTGCATTGGCACATCTTCCTAGTGAATTCGAGCCTCGTTTGGATAGTCTTAGAGAGGCCATGGGAGTCATGCAGCATCACGATGCCATCACTGGCACCGAAAAGGAAACTGTTGCTTACGATTATGCTCGTTTATTGCACATTGGGATTAATGATTGCGAAAATGTTACTAGTGAAGCATTATCGTAAGATGAGAGCTTGTTAATTGTTGATTTTTTTTTTACAAAATATTTTTTTTCTAGATATTTCACCAACATTGAAGCCAATGATTTCAATACGTGTTTGTTGACTAATATCAGTCAATGTGCCTTAACAGAAACTCATGATAAATTTGTTGTGACTGTTTATAATCCTTTGAGCAGATTAGTGAGCAAATATGTAAGGCTTCCAGTTAATGGGAATTCTTTTAGTATTACAGGGCCTGATGGTAAGTAAATGTTTATATGTGATGTTTACCTTCATTATTGAATATAGCATTTACATAACTAAATAGTGTTGGTGTAGGTACATCACATAAATCGGCTTTAAAGCTTTGAAAAAATTTAGACTTTGGGGCTCAATGTCTTAAGAATTATTTGAGATAAATGAGGTAATGATGCTTTATCTTGAAGAGCGTTTAATTCTTATTTGGAATATATAAATATACATTAGGATTTGTAAAATATTAACTGAGTAATGAGCGATTTTGTTGAGCAATTTCGGATAATCAAAAATTTCAGGAAGCGGCCATGGGCGGCAAGAGTAGCGCTTGTGACGTCACTATGCGGAACGAACAATCAGCTGGTACCTAGGTATATACGTATTTTCCTACGAAGTGCGGAAATGTGATACTTTCCGCACGCAAATTGGTGCGTGAAGACGCGTTTTCCACACGCTCGTAGGAAAAAATGTGCCTAACACGAGCTTATTAAACTAACAACAAAATAATGTTCGTGAACTGAATGGTTTTGCTTAATTTGGTAAAAATTTCAACATTTTCGTGTATAGTTTGTATGGGTTTCGGTTCGTTTTGCGCCTGGAATCGATTAAAAATGCTGGATTTTGGAAAAAAAATTAAAATTGTAGCAACCCTGATCCGAAAATGTAGCAACCCTGGCGCAAAAGTCAAAAAGATATGAAAAGTGATATTATGATATAACACTACTTCTAGAGGATGACCTATCTTCATGAGGTCTGTGTGTAACAAATCCCTCTCTTCCCCCTTCCCACGACACCAAATTACCAGTTGTGACGTACGCAGCATGTTATATCCTGTGTTTTCTTGTCTTGACGTAGTCTGTTTGAACAGCTGACGACTTAGTTATGACGTCGAAAATGGTAAAACACCAATATGGCGGCGATTACCAAAAGCAATCCTGTAGGTGTGTATCATCCTTGGGAGCCCACAGGGTAACAAAAAAAAACGCCATTTTGTATCGACTTTAAAAAAAAAAACAAGGCCTACATTAAAACGTCAATTTTTTTGACGTTTGTTATGTCATAAGCAGTGTTGCCATTTGTTTTTTTTTAAATTTCTAGCCCAAAGGGCCGGAGTTATACGCGTGCCCCAAAGGCCGAGGTTATTACTAATCTTTTGAGGTAGTAGGATAATATTTGAGTCTAAGAATGGAGGTTTTTGGCAGTGATGTGCCTGTAGACAATGTCAACGTAAACAATTGATTGTCTACGTGTAGACAATTCCAATTGTTTACGTGGGCATTTGTCTACACATTGTCTACATGTGACGTAAACAATAAACTTATTTTGAAAAAATTTAAAAAAAGTTCCAAAATTACTACTACCTAAGTAGCTTTTACCTATCACTTTGATATCAGCATTCACTGATTATAAATATGAGGAAAACCGATTATAAAATAAAAATAATTTTTGAAAAGGAAAGTGTGAGGTTAGAATTAAACGTCATTTATATTATTTTACATTGTTGACCCCTTGTCTACATTGTCTACACGTAAAGTAGACAATGAAAGTCTACGTGTAGACGCACATCCCTGGTTTTTGGTAGAAAAAAATGAAGCAAATTCAAAGCCCCGACCTTAAAACTACCTTTTTTGCATAAAAAGCCGCTGATAAAAACTTGATAAAACTAAAAATTTTCTCACTTACCCCGTTTAAAAACTGGAAATTTTTGGCACAAAATGAAGAAAAGTTAAAGCCCAATACTTCAAATAGATTTTTCCGACTGAAAAAGCCCTGGAAAAGAGGAAAATTCAAGGAAAAACTGGATAAAAATGTAAATGACGGACTATCAAAACTAGCGAAAATGACATTATTACACGTGAAGTTGGCCACAAGTACATCAAAACTTCCAGAAAAAGCATAGTTTGCTAATTATGACATTTAAAACTGCTACAAATTGAAGAAAACTCAAAGCCTCGTATTTTAAATAGGTAGCTTTTTTCCATGAAAAAAAAAACGGAAAAGTGGAAAATTCGAGAACAAAACTGGCAAAAAAACACGAGACGTCACTTCAAAATGGCCGACTAAAAGCAACGTTGCCACATCACATCTCGAAAAGCAAAAATAACATTTTAATTTGTTTGAAATTCAATTATAAACTATTAACTGGAATCGATTAAAAATGCTGGATTTTGGAAAAAATTTAAAATTGTAGCAACCCTGATCCGGAAATGTAGCAACCCTGGCGCAAAAGTCAAAAAGATATGAAAAGTAGGCCTTGTTCAAAGATGATATTATGATATACACTACTTCTAGAGGATGACCTATCTTCATGAGGTCTGTGTGTAACAAATCCCTCTCTTCCCCCACACCAAATTACCAGTTGTGACGTAGGCAGCATGTTATATCCTGTGTTTTCTCGTCTTGACGTAGTCTGTTTGAACAGCTGACGACTTAGTTATGACGTCGAAAATGGTAGAAAAAAATGAAGCAAATTCAAAGCCCCGACCTTAAAACTACCCTTTTTTGCATAAAAAGCCGCTGATAAAAACTTAATAAAACTAAAAATTTTCTCACTTACCCCGTTGAAAAACTGGAAATTTTTGGCACAAAATGAAGAAAACTCAAATCCTCATACTTGAAATAGATTTTTCCGACTGAAAAAGCCATGGAAAAATGGAAAATTCAAGGAAAAACTGGATAAAAATGTAAACACGTCAATTAAAAATGACGAACTGTAGAAACTAGCAAAAATTACATTATTACAGTACCTACTTGTGATTGAAACCTCGTGAAGTTGGCCTCAAGCGGTATTGCCACATCAAAACTTCCAGAAAAAGCATAGTTTGCTAATTTTGACATTTAAAACTGCTAGAAATTGAAGAAAACTCAAAGCCTCGTATGTTAAATAGCTTTTTTCCATGAAAAAAAGAAACCGGAAAAGTGGAAAATTCGAGAAAAAACTAGCAAAAAAACACGAGGCGTCACTTCAAAATGGCCGACTAAAAGCAACGTTGCCACATCACATCTCGAAAAGCAAAAATAACATTTTAATTTGTTTGAAATTCAATTAAAAACTGTTAAATAATTAATTAATAATGATTGAAATAATTGAATTTTCGCAAATAAGGCATCGGAAACTTGTTTTTAGTTTAATTTCAATGAAAATTACATTACAAGGCTTACTTGTTGATTATAGTGAGTAAGACAAAGACAACGATAAAGTAGTATATGTTTGCAAAAACCACCCTTTTCTGATTAAAAAGGCCCTGGAAAACAGTGTTGGTAGATCGGTGTAGGTGAAATTCCCCATACGAGGGCAAAAAAGGAAAAATATCTAAATCTGGCATAAATTTCCCCTTTTCCCTAGTTGCTGAAAATATCCCTAAATCTAGGGAGAAATTTCCTAATATACCTGAGAATCTCAGGTAGGTATTAATAGTAAACAATTTTGCAACTTCAGCTATGAGTTTCATATCAACAATTTGTTTTGTATCATGAGAAAACTCTAATTACTAAATCCTGAAAGTTTCAAATTTCTGGAATGGCTCGAAGTATGTTTCAGGAATTTTCAAAGACGATTTAACAGGAATTTTATGATTTTCGCAGGTATCAATGAGTAAAAATTAGTTGTGGGTTTCCAATTTGTTTTGTATCATGAAAAATCTCTAATTAATAAATCCTGAAAGTTTCAAATTGCTAGGATGGTTCAAAGTATTTTTCAGGAACCCTTAAAGACGATTTTACAGGAATTTTTTGATTTTCAATGAGTAAAAACATTCCTAACTATAGTTGTGAGATTCATATCATCTTCCAATTTGTTTTGTATCATCAGAAAACTCTAATTTTTAAATCCTGAAAGTTTCAAATTCCAGGGATGGCTTAAAGTATTTTTCAGGAACCTCCAAAGGCGTTTTTGCAGGAATTTTATGATTTTCTCAGGTATCAATGATTGAAAAATTTTGCAACTTTAGTTGTGAGTTTCATATCTACTTCCAATTTGTTTTGTATCATGAAAAATCTCTAATTAATAAATCCTGAAAGTTTCAAATTGCTGGGATGGCTCAAAGTATTTTTCAGGAACCGTCAAAGACGATTTTACAAAATTACAAATTGAGGCCCAATATCTTGAAAACTATTCGAGATAAATGAGTCAATTTTATTTTATTTTGAAGAGCATCCAATGCATTAGAATTTGTAAAATATTATTTGAGTAATGGACATTTTTATCTACTTCTAGGCAATAATGTCCATAGCCAGATTTTACCAACCCCTATAGGAATCATGAATATTCCATCAGGAAGGCAAACAAGTGCCAGCTTGGAACTGATTTTTGAAGCCCAAGACATTCCACCCTTGGGTTTCAAGTCTTTTTATGTCCAAAAGAAAAACGGGGACGATGTAACTCGGGAGGATTTGTCTCTGGATTTCAGTTATTTCAATGGAAAAGTAAGAAATCACAAATAAACATAACATAAACTGAAATTCTTATATTATACAGGGCGTTGGATTTACAATAGACCCATCAACAGGCCTAGTTGACAGCCTGGAAATGAACAACGTACTCCTGGAATTAGAACAAAAATTCTGGTTCTATAACGGCTCGGATTCCTTTATGGATTTTTCGTCTAAACCTTCAGGGGCTTACGTTTTCAGGCCCGACACGCTCAGTCCGATCAAAAAAGTTTCGGACACTGCAGCCTTTGAAGTTTACAGAGGCGATTTGGTAACGGAAGTCCGTCAGACTTTTAGCGAGTACGTCAGTCAAACTGTGAGGATTTACGCAAACGAAAAGTTTGTCGAGTTCGATTGGGTTATTGGTCCTATAAAAACGGAAATGAAGTATTTTTTTTTTTTTTAAACTTAATTTATATTTGTTAATAAAAGTTGGCCTAGTAATGGTAAAGAAGTCATCTCGCGATTTACAACTTCATTAAATAGTGAATCAACATTTTACACTGATTCAAATGGACGTGAATTGATGAAGAGGCAAAGAAATCAAAGACCTTCCTGGAATGTTACAGTTTTAGAAAACGAGTCTTCAAATTATTATCCAGTAACTTCGAAGATTTTAATACGAGATGAAGAAGCTAATTTAGAGTTTGCTGTATTGACCGATAGAGCTGAAGGAGGCTCTAGTTTAGCTGATGGGGAAATAGAGCTAATGGTAATATAATCAATTGATGTGCAAAGGGATTTATAAATACATGTTTTTGTAGTTGTTGAGGAGTTGTGTTACTGATGATCAATTCGGGGTGAATGAGGCTCTGATGGAAGTGGCTTATGATTTACCGATTGTAGCACGAGGGTCGCATTATGTGACTTTGGGTAATATTGAATCAGGTAATGAGTAATTTATGTATTAGGATATTTTTCCAAAATGAATGCTTTTGTCTCCTAACTTTTATTTTAATCGATCAAGAAGCCAATAAGGGAATAGGTATTGATGAATCTCAGGTAAAAATGTGAGATTTTGAAGAACAATTTTATTCTACTAGATCCAGGAATAGAAGCTTCATGCAACTTTCATCCAATAATCAAAACTGGGAGAGTCAATTGTAGGATTTCTGAGTTTCTTTAGGCTCTCTGGAATAAGTCAAAAATCAAACATTTCATACATCGGTTTAGTGAATTGCATTTCAACATCAGAAAATTTGAAAAATTCAAGGTTTTTGAAGGAAGTAGAGATTCATTCATTCAACATGGAAAACTTGGAAAATCCAAGAAGTGAAGATTCATTATAAAATTTTGATCAATTTCTGGTGGAAATGTGAGATTTTGAAGAACTTTTTTATACTTTCCATTTCGATTTTGGCTCTACTAGAGCCAAGAATAGGAGTTTTATGCAACTTTAATTCAATTGTGAGATTTCTTCCAGGCTCTTCTGGCATAAACTTTAACCCTGGAATAAGTCAAAAATCAAATATTTTATACATCGGTTTAGTGAATTGCATTTCAACATCAGAAAATTTGAAAATTCCAAGTTTTTGAAGTAAGTAGAGATTCATCAATCAACATAGAAAACATGGAAAATCCAAGAAGTGAAGATTCATTATAAAATTTTGATCAATCTCAGGTGGAAATGTGAGATTTTGCAGAAGTATTTCATACTTTATCATTTCATTTTGGCCATAAGCGCAACTAGGGGGGGCTTGGGGGTGCTAAGCACCCCTAAAGCAAAAATTAGCACTCCCATTCGGCATCCGACCAAAGCACTACCTACAGTGGCACTACCTAAAACTAATATAAAAAATCAGTGCAACCAAATTTTTTATTTTTTTTGTACTTTTTGTACTTACTTACGTCATCGATGACGTCATAATTTAGAAAGTTTAGATTTTACTATCACTTCTCCGCGATTCTAAATTCACTTTTCCGCGATTGTAAAGCCCACTTTTCCGCAAATATTACCTCATTTTTCCGCGATTCTTATCTCATTTTTTCACGAATTTACACTCACTTTTTTTGAAATTTTTGACTCATTTTTTTGCAATTTTGTCTTCATTTTTTGCGATTTTTGGCTCTTTTTTTTTCGATTTTGGACTCTCTCTTTTGCGATTTTGTCCTTACTTTTTTTTGCGATTTTAGCCTCACTTTTTTGCGATTTTACCCTCACTCCTCCGCGATAACAAACTTATTTTTCCGCTATTTCATCCTCATTTTTCCGCGATTCTTACCTCATTTTCCCGCGATTTTTTCCCTACTTTCCGCGATTTTATCTTCACTTTTCCGCGAATTTAACTTCACTTTTTTTGCTATTTTTGAATAATTTTTTTTTGCAATTTTTGACTCATTTTTTTGCGATTTTACCATCACTTACCGCGATTCTAAATCCACTTTTTCGCGATTGTAAACCCACTTTTCTGTGAATATTATCTCATTTTTTCGCGATTCTTGCCTCACTTTTTTTTGCGATGTTATCCTCACTTTTCCGCGATTTTATCCTCACTTTTCGTGACTTTAACCTTATTTTGCCGCAAGTCATCTTATTTTTTTGCGAATTTAAACTCACTTTTTTTGAAATTTTTGACTCATGTTTTTTTTGCGATTTTATCATCACTTTCCGCGATTTTATCCTCATTTTTCCTCATTTCAAAATTACGAGAATAACGATAATTTTTGAAAAGTTACGAAAAATTACGGGAATTACGTTAAAGTACATAAAATATGAAAAATTATGAGAATTGCAAACCTTTACGAGAATTACGGAATAACAAAAAATTGCAGGAATTACAAAAATTATGGGAATTGCCAAATATTACGTAAAAAAATTACGAAGTTACTCCAAAATTACGTCAATTATTTAAATATTACTAATTTTTGAAAAGTTACGATAACTTACAAGACAAATTACGAGAATTACGAAAAATAATGGGAATTATAAAAATTTACGGAACTTTGTAAAATGACGAAAATGACGAAAATTTACGGCAATTATGAAAAATTATAAAAATTACGGGAATTAAGGAAAATACGAAAAACTACGAAAATTACAAAAATTACGGGTATTACGAAATATTACGGGAAAAAATTACAAAGTTATTCCAAAATTACGTGAATTACGGTAATCCCCAAAATAACGGAAATCACAAGTTTTTGAAATTACGAAAATTACAATAACTTAGGCAGAATTAAAAAATTCCGAATTTTTTTGGAAATTAGGAAAGTTGAAAATTAAAAAATTGAAAATACAAATAATTACTGGAATTACGAAAACATCATGATGAGAAAAGCGCGAAAAATTGCGGGAATAACGAAAATCACTAAGTTTTCTAAAAATTGAAAAAAATAAGAGATAATTAAAAAATAACAAGAATTATCTTAAAAATGACAGGAATTAGAAAATTTCGAAAATTCCCAAAAAAAAAATACGGAAATTACCAACTTTCGAAAATTTTAAACACTTAGGGGGAATTATAAAACTAACGAAGTTTTTATGAGAAATTACGGAAATTAAAAAATTACGAAAATAATGGGAATTACGAAAATTTCTAGTGTTTCGAAAATTGTGAAAACTAAGGGGGCATTATAAAAATAACGAGAATTATCTGAGAAATGACAGGAATTACAAAATTTCGATAATTCCCAAAATAAAATACAATAATTACGAGAATTACATAATTTCGGAATTATGAAAATAACGGAGTTTTCTGAGAAATTACAGAAATTAAAAAATTACGGAAATCTGAAAACTACAGCAATTATTCAAAAATTATGAAAAATACGAAAAAATCACCGGAATTAAAAAAATTGTGACAATTTTCAAAAAATTACGAAAATAACAAGAATTACAAAAACTTACGGGATTCGCGAATTTTCCGAAAATTGCAAAAACTAAAGTGGAATTATCGAGAATTTTTTGAGAAATGACGGAAATTTGAAAATTTTCGAAAATTCCAAGAAAAAAAAAATTACGGGAATTAAAAATTTTTGAGAATCACAACAAACTTGGGGGGAATTATAAAGATAATTGAGTTTTTTGAGAAATTACGGGACTTACAAAATTACGAGAACTTGAGGAACTACAGGAAATATAAAAATTGAAAAAAATAAGAAAAATTTACGGGAATTGCGACAAAATTACGATAATTTTTGGAAAGTTACGGGATTTATGAAAAAGTTACGGTAATTAAGAAAATTACGAGTTTTCCAAGAATTGCAATGACTAAGGAAGAATTACAGAAATAGGGAGAATTATCTGAGAAATTACGGAAATAATGAAAATTCACAAAAAAAAAATGAAAATTACGGGAATTACGAATTTTTGAAAATAACAAAAACTTAGGGGGAATTATAAATAAGTAATTGAATATTTTGAGAAATTACGGAAATTAAAAAATTACGAAAATCTGAGAAACAATAGGAATTATTCAAAAATTACGGGAATTACAGAAAAATTACGATGAATTTTGGAAAGTTACGAAAAATTAAAGAAATTACGAAAAAGTTATGGGAATTACAAGTGTTGCGAAAATTGAAAAAACTAAGGAAAAATTATAAAAATAACGAAATTTATTTAAAAAATAACGGCTTTTAACAATTTTTTTTCGCATTTTTACCTTCACTTTTCCGCAATTTCAAAGTTCAAACTCACTTTCTCGCAATTTCAACAAATTTTTCTGCGAATTTTGCCTCACTTTTCCGTTATATTCCGCGATTTTCGCCTCATATTTCCGCAGTTTCAACCTAATTTTCCATAATCTTTACTTTTGTTTTTCGTATTTATAACCTCATTTTTTCTCAATTATAACCCTGCTTTTCCGCCATTTTCACTCAACTTTTTCGCAATTCCAATATTTCCAACCTCATTTTTTCTGTAATGTTTACTTCTATTTTTCGTAATTCCAAAGTCATTTTCCTGCGATTTTGACACTCACTTTTTCGCAATTTTTGAAAAGTTACGGAAATTACGGAAAATTGCAGGAATCAAGAAAAATTACTGGAATTATAAAAATAAAGAGAATTACGAAAATTACAAAAATTATAGGAATTACGAAAATCATGAATTTTTGAAATTATGAAAATTAAAAAACTTGGGGGGAATTCAAAAATAATGAAGTTTTTTAAAAAATTAGGAGAATTAAAAATAGGTATAAAAAATTACGGGAATTACGAAAAAATTATGATTTTTGAAGTTATGGTATAATTACTAAAAAGTTACGGGGGAATTACGAAAATTATGAGTTTTTCGAAAATGCAAGAGTTAAGCAAAATTCATTTTCTAACATTTTATTTTTTTTCTAGAAAACTGACAAAAGGATAATTGTGAAAACTTTCCAGAAAAAAGAGGAAAGTGAGGATCTTATTAAAGCAAAATTTCAAAATTTTTCATTGAAAAATCACTCAGGAAAAATTCTGGAAAATTGACTTATTTTGTAGTAATTATTTTTAGTTATTTGAATTTGCCCAGCGCTGTATTTTGTAATTATTGTAAACCTGACCTTCAAAATAATTAGAGTACCTGATGACCAGAAAACCAGTTATGTCGGTAGACAGTTGATGAAAGATCACTTTTGAAATAGGTAAAAAACTTCCCGTTTCATCTTCCTTCTGCAGGCTGCGCTGGGGTGTCGTTATAGTTGAATTAACGAGGACTTCAATAAAACAGTAAAAACCGTTACGTGCCTTATTTGATTGGGAAACCCGGACTCAACAGTCGCATTTCGAAGAAATCTACAGTCTACAGTTTTCAGAAGTGGGATTCAGGGTTCAAGCCAAAGGATATTGCGAAAGTAGTGATTTATTATGGCGGACGACCAATTTGAAGACGCCGAAATGAGTGAATCGGCTCAAGAAAACAGAAGCCAGAGTCCAATTTCAGTGAATGATTTGGTTGAAGCAAC